TTGGTTTGGGGCCACGGGTGGCCAGCAGTGTCTGTCCCTGTCTGTCCGTGTCCGTGTCCGTGCCCGCCCGTCAAGAAGGAGAAGGGCAGAGCAGAACCAGAAACACTTGTGTTGCACTGGCAGGTTTTGCAGGGGAAGCGGTGTGAGGAGGTAAAGGGTTGGGCACCCCCCTTACCTGGACACACAGACATTAGTGCAGTCCCAGGGATCAAAGAAAGAGCCCACTGTGTGTAGGCGGGGTGGACCAAAGCCAGGAAAGTGCTCTCACAAAAGGGACATTACTGGGGAATGTTAAAAATGAGAGGCTTTTTGCTCACAACAAAGGATAAAGCTTGCTGCTTGTTTGCTTAAGATGGCTTGAGCAATTTCAGTGTGCAGAGTCACATGCAGGGAACGGAGGTGTCCTCATGTTATCATCGCTAAGGAAGCCACAGACCAAAAACACAAAGAATTTCTAACCTCCAAAGTAAACCTGTGATAACTACCCTGCATCTGACAGCACCTCTTTGGCTCCTTTCATGAGGGGTCTGTGAAGTGTAACTGGGGGTGGATGGAGGGGGAGGGCAGAAAAACTTCAGAGTATGTCCATTCAAAAATAGTTTAACCCACTGTCCTGAAAGACCTGGGTCGCTGAAAGTCTTGGTGGTAGCACAGTGGTGGTTCCTGCATGTGCAGGTCTCCAGGCACTGCACTCAGGAGGGGAATATCAGCCCCATTTTGAAAGGAGGGAGCATGAAGCCCAAAGGGGCAGAGCCCAAGGTTATCCAGAGGGACTCGGATTAGGCTGCCTGTTTCCTAGATCAGCTGAAAAGAAATCCTCTTGTGCTGGATCTCAGCCTCTCTCATCCTTGGCTGCACATGTCCCCCTTGTGACTGATTCCCCTTTGTGCCCCAGACAGTGGGTCCTGGGCAGCCCTGCAGGAGGTGGTACTAGTGAGGAGCACTTGTTCCAACAGGCTGTCCCTCCCACATGCATTAAACCACTTTTGGGACCTGCCAAAAAGACCTTTTATACCTGCAGGGAAGTGCCTGTGTGCACCGTGTCTCCCAGAGGGATCAGTCAGGCTGTGTATCCACAGGGCACCTCAGTGCTGAGCTCCAGCCAAGCCTTGCTCGGGGCTAAGCTCCCACATGCTGTCCTCTGTGTCTTCTGCTGATAACTGGACAACCAACCAATGACACTGGGCATTAGCCCTGTGTTAATGCTTTTGCTCCCCTTGAGCAGGACCCTTCCCTTTCCTGGGGCTTAGCAGACAAACCCAGTAGCACGAAAACCACAGGCCATGGAGGCAACACCTTCCTGACAGGCCCAGCTCTCTGCCTCAGGCTCTCAGCCCTGCAGTAGCAGGCAGGGATTGAGCCTGCCTGAAAGCTGAGCTGGTGGGAGGCGTGAAGTGCCAGGTGCTTGCTAGGAAATAATCCCAACTATCTGGGCTGTGCAGATACAGGCTCCCTCTCCCTCCCACAGCAGAGCCAAGTGCCAGGGGTTGAGGCAGAATTTCACCCTGGAGCCTGGACAAGCCAAAGCTCAGGTTAGGAGGCTTCCCCTACAGCCCCATGGTCCTGGTGTTGAGGACCAGCACAGCCACCCCCAGGTTCCTCTGCAGCACCCCTTGTGCTCCTGAGAGCAGGAGTGTGTTGGTGACCCTGGGCACATGGACATGGCCTTGTGAAAGTGGTTTTTGAGGCTGCATCCATCCTGGAGAAGCTGAAGAAGAATTAAAATAAATGTGCCCATTACTTTAATATTGAATTAATACCGGACCATACCTAAAAAGCTCAGGAATTGTTCCCACGATTGCTCCTACAGTTCTCTCCTTGCTGCTGGCCTCTGTGAAGCACTGAGGGCCCCTAATGATCCAGTCTACATCCTCCCTGATCCCCAAAGAAACCCAGAGAGATCCACTGCAGTCATGGGACCATGGAGTTCTTCCAGTTCCTCTCAGCTCCAGGGGTCAGGCACTGCCTCAGCTTTGGAGCCTCCCCAAGGCCTTGATGATCTGATTCAGTTCACCCCATCACTGACTGGAGTCCTTCTAGAGTCTGCAGCCTGCTGAAGATTGTGTGCTGAAGAATGACAGACACTCTTTTTTGTTCTCTTTATTCCCAAAGCCAAATCCTGCATCCCAAGCCTGGTCATCCCTGACCTCTTCAAGACTGCCTGCAGCCTCATGATCCAGGGGTGGATTTTGCCCCACACCTGTTGAGCCTAGCAGTAAAGGCACTGAGTCCAGATATAAGAAAACAACAAACTCCATGGAAATCCAGAAGCTCCCAGGCTTAGTCTCCCATTTGAGGCTACCCAGTGCTGCAGCTGGTGGCTCAGCTCCAGGTTGGAGAGCACTGTCCTGTGAACCACATGGGACCTTCAGCCAGACATGGAGCTCAGGTCTGAGTGGAGCAGCAGGCTGGGTCTGTGCTGGGGAGATGCTCTGCTCCAGAGACCTGTGTGAGAGTGAGATCACAGCCCAAGGGCCTGCAGGACCTGGGAAGGATGGCAGCAAATGGCCCAGACCCTTCTAAATGCCCTGGGGAAAGCAGTGCTGGGGCAATGTCCTCACCTGGGATCCCACACCAGACAGGAGAACTCACCCCTGGTGCTCAAAGGCCCCAGACTGGAATGCCTCACTCCTGGTGTGGAGGAGGCCCCTGAAGGAAGATGTGTCCCTGGGTGGCTTTGTTAGGGCCAGAGAGGGCCAGATGTTTGGTGCACGTGTCTGCTCACCTGGTGCTCTTGATCCATGGCCTGTCCAGGCATCATCAGCCCTGCTGCTTTGGTCCTGGCTCTCTCTGCCTGATGGAAGAGGACGAGACACATTAAATCCTCCCACACCCCCCTGCCCTGGGACTGGCCCCCTCCCACAGCCACTCCTGGCTCCTGCCCAGACAGTGTCTCTACCACAAGCCCAGGGCACAGAGTCTGAGACTGTGGCAGTCCTGATGTTTGGAGCCTTGGTCTCCCAGCATCTGAAGATGAGTGTTGGAAGTAGGGCAAGGAGATCTGCTCATCTCAGCACTTTCAGATTCCCTAGAGCTCCTGCTTCCCCTCCTTTTCCACCTCCTCAGCGGATCAGCTGCTAAGCACCCTGAAATGCTGGGTTTGCTGGTTTCTGCCAGAGCACCAGGCAAGGCTTCTAAAGGGCTCTACAATGAATGGGATTATTTTTTGTTTGCTTTGGCAGCTAAAGGGCTGTTAAGTAACCCAGAAGTTAATAATATCATTTGAATATATTAAGAACATCACCTCAGTAGCAAGTCAAGGAGAGGGAAGTTTGCTTTCATGACACACTGTGAATTATTACGTACAACACCACTCCCAGCAGATCTGTTTGCAACACCAGCCAGCCCAGAGCCACAGGCTGAGCCACACTGAGCTGCACCAACATGGGAGGGAGCAAAGAGAAACCAGAGAGACTGCAGAGCCTGGGCAGGGAACACAGGTGTCCTGGTACCTGCCTATTGCCCTGACCTGCCTTGCAGAAAGAGATGCATAATTAAAACTCTACAGTCCAAGACCTGATGCTACTGCCATTTCTGCCATTATGGGCAGCTGGTAGCTGGTTTCTGCTTCCACAGCACCACCCCAGGAATGACCAATGTCCTTCCCTTTTGAGGGGTCAGGGCTGCAGCAGCACTTGCTCTGCACAGAAGAGCCCAGGACAGTGGCAGGGCTGAAGTCCAAGTGCCACCCCAGAGCCTGCACTGCCAACCACACTTGGCTTATCACTGACAGGCAATTGTTCACTGACAGAGATGTCTGCAGGGAGAGCCCCTGCCAGGGAGAGCAGGACAAGAGAGCACAGAGGAGGAAATGAAGCTGTGGAGGTGCAAGAAGCTCCCTGCCCTACTTGAGCAACCTCTCAAAGAGGCAACAAAGAGAACTAACTCAGCCTTTCCCACACAGAGGCAACAGCAAGGCTTCCTCCTGCCAGAGGAAGGGAATGAGCCAGCACTGGACTGGCAGGTGTTGGAAATCCCAAGCCCAGCCAAGCTTTCCAACAGCATTGGAGGCAGGACCTTTGTGGAGCAGCACCAGCAGCTATAGCTGGGGTGGCATTAATCTGCTCATCTCAGAAGGGAGTGCCAGCTTCTGAAAGTGCTGTTTCCCAGAGTCTGAACTGTTACTTGAATGTGGCCAGCAATGGGAACCCAGCCCTTTTTCTCCAACCTGTTGGACTCCAGGAGTGCCAAGTGTCTGATGTGATCAGGAAAGGAAGGGCACTCAGAGAACGCCACAATCTCCAGCCCTGGTGTAGCTGCAGCAAAGCAAAGCTGCTTTAGAGAGGGAGATGTCTCACCTTCAGCTCTAGAAGATGTGGCATCCATCTGGGCTGGGAAATCAGAACATTCCACTGGACACCCATGATCTTTTCCAGCTTGCAGCAAAGACCCTGGGCCACCCCCATCAGGCTGGTGGGGGAACTGACCAGGGGGACTTTGGGCTCAGGAGCTGACCCAGGACAAGGCCAGGTTCCGTAGCTCCTGAATGGCCCACATCTGGACCAGGTGCTGTAACGTCGTGTGAGAGGCTTCCTGGTGGGGAGGCTGTCAAAGACACGGAATCCTTCTTTTATGGCAAACTCCCAAGCCAGGTCGGCCACAAACTCTACATCCTCACGGCTGCCTTCACCTGGGGCTGGTTCTTCTGGGGACAAGAGGACACTGTTGTCTGGAAGAGCCTGTGTTATGTAGTCACATCCCAAACAGCACCATGTGCCCTTGTCTGGGCCAGCCCAGCAGGGCTCAGGGAGACTCCTCTCTAAGGAATATGAAAATAACATCTTGTTTTTCTCTGATAAAGACTCCCAGGCCAGACCTGATGTGGGCAGATAAACAGCACTGGGAGTTCACACCACCTCCCTGCTTTCGAAGGTGGTGTCTAGTTTGAAAGTCTGAGAGCTCCACCTGTAGGACGCGGCTCTGAGCTCTGAACTGTGCACAAACAGGAACAGAGCAGACCTTGCACCCAGCAAAAAGGGAAATGCTCCATGTCAGAGTGTCACCACACCAGCGCCTGTCTGTCTGTGCTCTGGCTGAAGACCAGTACAGAGCAGGGCCGGGGTGCTGGGGCTCCTCACCTGCCGCAGAGCGTGTCCGTAGCCCCCGCAGCGCCGCAGCCAGGCGGAAGAAGGCAAAGGCCATGTAGAAATTCCAGTTCTCAGGATGCTCCATTCCCATCTGGCTCCAGTACATCTGGGAATACTCCTCTGCCGTGGGGACTCCCAAGCGCCCCAGATCAGACTTCCTCACGCCTGGAAATTGTGAAGAGGCACCGGTGAGGCAGCAGGCAGTGGGGAGCTCAGAGCGATGCCTGAGCCTTGTGGCAGAGCTGTGGGGCAGCAGAGTCACCTGCACCCAGCCAGCACCTGCCCTGCTGCTCTGCTGTTTCCACACAGAAAAACTGGGGTTCGGCACCAGCCCACGTGGCTGAAGTGCACATGGGTCACTTTGCTTCTTTGGGCTGAGCCTGTGAAAGCAGTGACTGATGGATCTTCCTTCTAATTCCCCCTAAACCCTAAGGAGTGATTTTCCTCTCTGTTTACCCCTATATTGTTCTTTTTAACAAGTGTATAACCTTGTGGACAAACCTCTTCTGGGCTTGGTTCACAGCTTTCCTACCCAGAAGAGCTCCTCAGATTTGCAGCTGAAGTGAGGAGGAAAAGAATCCAATTTTAAATGTAATGTTGCAAGCTGTGAAGCAGGCCCCTCCTCTCTGGGGCCACCCCTGACACAACTGCTAAAAAAGGTCCTTACACACAAGCAGGGTGACAGTACCAAGCAGGACAAGGAGCACGTGGCAGAATATCTGCCACATGGGTGGCAGAGAGGAGATAAATGGGCTGGGGAGACCACCACACATGCAGAAAGATGCTTCTGCTCTGGAGGGATGGAGGGTGCTTCAAGGAGGGGAGAAAGGGCAGAGCAGGGATCACAGCAGGAGATGCATTGAGTCCAGCTGTCAGCTGAGCTCTCTGGGCAGGAGCTAATCTGTTTCTGAACTCTGACTCCTCTCTCCATGTGTCAGATGTGACCTTGCCCCTCTCTGTACCTCTCAGAGCACTAAAGTGAGGTGGCAGGAAGTAGGCCATACAGTTATTCGCCAAATCAGAGATGGGATCTCCTAGAGTTGAAAGCTTCCAGCCAAGGACAGCAAGGACTTCTGGCCTGTCTGGATGAAAGACCAGGTTGTCCATCCTGTATCAGAGGGAAAAAGAGATCAGAAAAGTCTGAAGAGGGGGGAAAAGATCCCAGTGCTCAGCAGCAGTGGGTGCTTTCCAGTGGTCTTCACTCTCTGAAAAAATTGCTGAGTCCTTTGGGAGGCTGCACAAGTGGAAGATCAGTTTCTGCAAGGGAGGAGGGAGATTATTCAACACTGAAGCCCCTAGTTAATGATGAACTAACTGACCTGTGCTTTGAAGAGTGAAACAGAGTTATTCTCTCGAATCATTAACAGATGTTACAGACCAGGCTAGCCAAAAAGTGAAGCAGGCAACTCACTGTCCAGGGGGATCTTGTGGTTATTTTAAAGGCACAAAGTAACTCCAGGCCCTGCACTTCCACGGGCTGTAGATCATGTGTGGTTCAGCTTTCACTAGTCTGAGCCCCAGGAGAGGGCAGCAGCCTACTGAGGAGGAAATGGAGAGGGCAGCCATCCTTCCAGGGTGCAAAGAGCTCACCAGCTTCCAGTCCCACAGGAACCATGTGTGCTAAACCTTGTGGGAAGGGGCCCTGGCCCAGCACTGACACACGCCAGTGCAGGATGGAGGGTTTGTGGCCCCCCAGGCTTTGTTACCTGGGGGATGCTGATCATGACCCAGAGCCCAGCCTTCCCACTGCTCTGCAGCTGCTGTGCCAACCCAACTCAGCACCTCCCTGGAATCTGCACATTGCTTTACACTGTCTCTCTCCCTCTCAGCTCCCTGGATGTGCTCCAGGGAAGTGCTGCGAACCAAGCAGTACCTGAAATCCCCATGCACAACCGTTGTCTTCTGAGACTCAGGAAAATGCAGAGGCAGCCACTCCATGAGTCTCTCCATGGCTGGGATAGTGTGAGTTTCCACAGCTCGGTACTGCTTTGTCCAGGTCTCAACCTGCTGCTGAATGTAATTACCTGTAGAAAGAGAATGAAGGCTCTCGGGAAAGGGACAGGCACAAAGAGGGTTCTGAAGAGATGCATAAAAAGTGCCTGCAGGGGAAGCTGAAAAGCCCAGGAGAGCTCAGTCCAGCACCCTGAGCTAAGCTCCAACGTTTAATTATGTCTCATAGATTCTTAACTGGCACTGGATTTGATATTCTGGTGGAAATAATCAGATCTTGGACAAAAACATATCTCCATCAACTCTGAGAAGCTGAGATAGCCCTGCAGAGAGACCAGGGGAGCTGAGGATGTTTGATCAGAGATGGCAGCAAGCCAGTTCTTCCTGCACCCAGAGTGCAGGCCTTGCTCCTGGCAGGGAGCTCTGGGAACTACTAACAGCAAGCAGAGCCCTGGAGGATCTGAAGCAGCTCTGCACACTCTCCCACCATGCCTGGGCATTCAGACACCCTGCTGCCCAGCTTCACTTTCCCAGCTGCTCCCAAGTTGGGCCCAAGTCCTGTTCCTGAGCCTATCCTTTGTAATGCTGAAGCACAGGAGAAGAAAACAGTGATAGAGGATACACTGCCTGCTCTCACCATGCCCCCCGAGGTCCTCCAGCTTGGCTGCTCTGAAGTCTGTGCTGTGGATCTTGGAGAGGGCTTGGCTCATGGCAGCATAAGCAGCCCTTCTCTGGCCTGGCTGCAGCGCGGGGAGGGAGGCGTCGCTGTAGACACGGCCAGCACAGTGCTCCATGAGGTAGAAGGGTGTGCCAAGGATGCTGGAAGCAAGGTGGAACCAGCAGGTCTGAGGTTAATCCTGCTACCTACCACCCCTCAGATCTCACATGCACCTTCAACAGGCCTCACCTGCCTGGCAAGGTGAGGAGCAGCCACAGCAGCACAGCTCCCTGGGGTCCCACACCCAGCTGTGGCTCCAGCCCAGCCCAGGCTGCCAGCCAGTGGTACATGGCTGTGGCATAAGCAGTCCTGGTCCCCCCAGCCCCGGGAAGCTGAGCTGGGGGCTGGGTTCCAGCACCAACCCTGCCCCCTGCAGCGGGCTCTGCAGCCAGGCTGTCAGGCTGCTCACATCGGGAAAGGTGGACACATGTTGAGCTGCAGTGCAGAGACTGTGTCACTGCAGCCAGCAGAGAGCTGAGCGTGGCTGTGCTGACTGCAGGCTCTGCACAGGGTGTCCTGCTCACAGGCTTGCTGCTGTTGTGGCTGTAAACCTTGGGGCAAGTCTGAGGACTGGCAGCTACAGAAGTCACCACAGGGTACCGCAGCCAGCAGAGAGCTGAGCGTGGCTGTGCTGACTGCAGGCTCTGCACAGGGTGTCCTGCTCACAGGCTTGCTGCTGTTGTGGCTGTAAACCTTGGGGCAAGTCTGAGGACTGGCAGCTACAGAAGTCACCTCCTTACAGGGTACCTGAGATTACTGAGGCAGCAGGAAGCCCCACAGCATTGTTTTGTAGCTGCTTTTCAAAGCAAGGAAGTATTTTGATTAATTGCTAAAATAAGGACACACTAAAACAAGTCAAATAAAAGTGTTACTGTCCTTGGAATCTCTGGAGGCTCTGTTAGCCTAAGAGAGGACAAACACTAATTAGACCAGTGCACATTTTGAGGTCTGGCTCCTTCTTCCCTCCTCTTCTTGTCTTTGGGGAAGCTGCCTCAAGTTGTCAAGCACAGAGGGAAAGCTGGGGGACAAGATTACCTTTGGTCCTCACAGAGAGCAAGGACAGTGGGAACAGGAACACCAGCCTCAGAGAGGGCCTTCAGTACCCTGCCAGGGAGAGGCAAAGAGCTGAGTCAGCACAGAAAGGATTGAGGGAATCGATCCTGGAGCTGCATTGTTGCTAGGCAGACACAGTATTAAAATAAAAAGCCCTGTGCTCAGTTTTAAATACACTAAAAGAACACAGCTAGGGGAAGGGGAAAGCAACACAGCAACATCTTTGTATGGCACATAGTCCTGAGACCAACACACTCTGAAAAACCCAGGGGAGGTCCCAGCAGCCCCAACAGATGTCCTGCTGCTCTGGTGCTGAGGTCTCTGGGACAGCACCCCTGTTGGCAGTGTGACCCCTCAGCCCTCAGCACAGCTCCTGGCTGGCCAGCTCCAGTGCTGGGCTGCAACCTCTCCCCCAGCCAAGGGGCTAGATGCCACAGGGAGATCCGGCATCTCCCAACACGTGCTGGGAGAGCTGTGAAGTGCTCCCTGGATTGGGAGCAGTGCAGGTGCAGGAGGGTGTTTTTCACAGCCTCGTGGCCCCAGCTGCACCAGCAGCTGGGCAGTGGCACAGCCTCCTCCCTCCATCCAGGACCACTGGTGCTGGCTGCAGCAAAGGGACAGATCCCAGGCCAGGATGTGGAGCTGTGCAAAACACAGGGCAGGACAATGTGGGAGGCAGGAGTGGGAACTGTGTGTGTGATGTGGAACAGGAAAGCCAAGGCTGGAATAGAGCATTGCCCCTTGGATGGGACTGTCTGGGATCTCCTACAAGTCTTCCCTGGGCAGCTGCCATGAGGAGCCCAGCTTCTTCTCACCTGTACTCCCTTCCAACAGCCGGGCCTGAGGGACACAGGTTGCCAGGGGGCTCCTTCTTCAGCACCAACAAGTGATCTCCAAACTTGATGGAATAGGTCCTGGTAGATGGTCTGTGGCCAAACTGCCGTAACACCAGTGGGCCTGGAGCGTTGGGAGCAGAGGGTCAGCAGACAGAAGCATAAGCTGGGATCATTTCCCACCACTTTTCCAGGTTTTTACTTTCCCTTCCTGAGCCTGGCTCTGAGATCTCACCTGCAGCAATCATGAGCCTACACTTTGAGCTCCTGTGTCCCAAATCCCTGGGGACCCCAGCAATCATTCAGGGATGGCTCCCAGGCCAGGAATATTCCTGGCATCTCTTTGGCAACTTGTGCTCAAATCCTCCCAAATGAGGAAGTCCTAAAATGTTGATGGATCACTGAAACCTGAATGGCTGCACTGTTTGCCTGGAGATTAGGAGCCTTTTGTTCATACTACTTTCCAAACCATCTGTTGTATGATGGAAAGAGCCAATGGCTCTGGAATATGAGAGCTTTCCAGGGGAAAAAACATTGAGGTACCTCTTGCCTGGTCACCAAAAAGATTTTCAAGGTACTTTTGCAGACGATCTTTTGGGATTTCCGTGCTTTGTCTCACTGAACGAGTATATGGAACAAACCCTTGCAAAGGGAAACCCAGGTAGGTTTCCAGCTCTTGGAGTGCTACTTTTGGATCATCAATCTGAAGCAAGAAGGAGGGAGAAACACTGGGTCACAATTAGAAGATACAATAGCCTAGGAAAGAAAGAGCTCTACACACTTGTGCTGCATTTATCTTTAAGTCCAACAGCAGGGATCCACCAAGTCACAGGAAGTCACGGGTCACTCCCTGCCATTTCCAACACCCACTGAGCCTTCCCTCTTGGTCCCCATCCCAAAGACCTGTTAGTGGCATTGGCACCATGAGCTTGGGCTGGGGTAGGAGCTGGAACTCCCTGTGAGCAGTCCATGGGGGCAAGGATCACTCTTCCCACTAACCCACTGGGAGTTACCCAGTTCCCAGCTGATGATCCAGGACTATTCAGAGCTTCTAGAAATGTATTAAATACATCTGATATAGATGTGGCTGTCTCAGCCATGCTGTCAGGGCTGTTTCTGTGGGCTTGGATGGACTCCAGAGGTCCCTTCTAACCCCTACCAGTCTGTGATTCTGTGATTCTCTAATTGGGAACTGAGGTCCATAAAGGAGAAGCCACTTCTCCAAGATTGCCCTGGTTGCAGGATTTAGAGGTGTGAACAGAAGAGGCCAGTGCAGACTTTCCCAGTGATCCCGCCCTTGAACCCTGCCACATCCTGTAGGAATAAGGACAGGCTGAAACTGAAGGCCTAACAACACAAGTCTGCCACTGAGACTGAAAATCCTGAGCCCTTCAAGTCAAATGCAGCTTCTGGGCTTAGAAACCACACCCAAAGCCTGTCCTGGTTGGGTTGCTTTGTACCTGCACCGTTTTCATGCCAAGCTGGGCTGCTGCTTTTAGGCTCTGGCTGCTGTTGTCGAGGAGTATGGATTCCTGAGGCTGAACACCCAAGCGTTCCAAGCACAGCTGGTAGATCCCAGGATCTGGCTTGTGCATCCCTTCCAGATGGGATTCAATCATCTATGGCAACAACAAATGGATTATGCATGAGCCTACTGTGACCACAAACATCTGTGCAGTGTTGGAAAGGGAGGGTGGGAAAGAGGCTGGCAGCCTGAGTAACGTGTGAAGTAAGGGACATGGGGAGGAAGGGCTGACAGAGCTGGGCAGGATGTGACTCAGGTGAGTGTGTGGGTGCCAAGTGCTTGGCTCCGGCTCTGTCAGCTCTAATAAGTCGAACAGGACCAGCCAGTCCTTGGGTGGAAGATATCCAGTCAGATGCCACAATGTGGGAGACCCACCAGACATCCCAGACTG